ATTGCTTTGCTCCAAAGCAGTGGCTCCTCAGGCTGTTGTGCAAGCAGCACTGGCCAATTGTGAACTCACATCAGCAAACTCATAGCTCCTTTCTTTTGAGTTTTGGTCAACCAAGAGGTTCTTAACTCTCCCCGCTCCTCATATTTTATGTTCTTTTAATCTGAGATTAGAGAGGAAGAGGAGAAGTTGTTCTCTGCAGAGTAAAACTTGAATCTTGTTGCAAAAACTCAGGACCTGGAGCTTTAATTTAGTGCTGGAACACTGAGGGACCGAACTTGCAGCAAGTAAGGTAGGGAGGAAAAGACATTGAAGGAGCTGCTGTTAAGAAGGTAAGTAATTTACCTTCAGAGCTGTGTGGCTCGACTGTGATGCATGGGATCTGGGGTGTGAGACACTGAGCAATGACACATGGTGAGGTCGCCTGGCGGAGAGGCATTGAATGATTGCAGTTGGGTAGAGGCTGCTAGCAAAAGCAAGATCAAGCTAGTGCTGCATTTCATCACCTAGACCATCTGCTGGACAACTTAGGAAGCAGAGGGCCATTTGCTAAGTGACAAACTGACGTCACTTTATTCTAATGTTCAATAAAAGGAGGACTCTACCAAGAAGCAGACAATAAACAGACTATTTTGCCATTTTCCATCAAGCAATTTGTGCGATGTTTGCAGTCCCTTAAGTATTACTCTAGCATTATGTTTACACTTTGGTAGCATCTGTAGAACAGGAAATGTGCTCCTAAATGTTAGATGCCATTTTAAGTAAATTGCTGTTCTTTAACTCTATTGTAGACAAGGTTTTGCCTGAACTTGTTTAGCTGCTATAGGGAGTTGGCCATAATTTCTTCTACCTCTCCTGCTCTCAACCTTCAGTGCACATCACCTCATACACCTGACAGCTGGTGGTAGATGGGTGCCTCTCATGATGGTGCCCAGACTTTGACTGTACGTCAGAGCCAGGCCACCTGGAGCTCTACACAAGTGGTCTGCACATCTCGAAATAGAAGCCAAATCCTTAGGAATTTCACAGTTTCCATACAAGCCTTTATCTCTGTCTCTGGGATGCATATGCCTGTTCTGCTATAATGATGAATATTGCTCCAGGAAAGGCTGGCTTTTCCTCAGTGTTCTGATCACTATCACTGTGGATCTCACACACACTCACAAATGACAATTCCTTATACAGAATGCTTTGGCTCAGTCTCTTTCACATTTACCATTGTCTTTGTCACCAAGACATCTACGCATAGCTTATATTACCAGTTTTATAAATGATTTGAAGATAAATGTTTGTGTTTAACCAAATAAGCTTGATTTCTTGTTGCTCTCCCCACTTTTTTCCTTAAAACTTAGATTTCTTGTTATCAAGCAAATTGGTGCAATTTTTAGAATATGTTGAGATCAATACAATTAACAACTTTCTGCAGACTGGCTGTTCAAATGTTTCACGGCCTTGAGCCAGACCCCTGGTCATGCGGACCACTGGGCCTTTGTGATGCCTCATGGAGATTTCCACAATGAAGTCACACTGCACGCAGCCCATGCTGCCCAGCAATACCACTGTGACAGCACCCTGAGAGCAGGGATGGGCCTT